TGCACATGTAATGTCCCTCTGAGAATAATAGGAGACTTTCACTTTTGTTGTAAGGAGTGAATAAAAAAAAGGCCCAGAAAGCTTTCAGTGCAGCATTGGATCACATAGGTTCCATGCAAAACTGAGGCAATTGAGATGAGGCTAAAATCTGAGAAACCAGAAGGTGTTATCAGATGAGGAACACTGTAGAGTGTGAACATACAAATCCCAGGAAGTGGGAGCATCATGTACAAGGGCTCTGTGGTGAGTTTAAGAAATGGGGAAATTCCCAGGCGTGGTGGCGCATGCCTTTAATCCCAGCACTTGGGAGGCAGAGGCAGGTGGATCTCTGTGAGTTCAGGGCCAGCCTGGTCTACATAGTGAGTTCCAGGACAGCTGGGGCTACAAAGAGACCCTGTCTCAAAAAAAAGACCCCCCCAAAAAAAAGAAAGAAAGAAAAAAGAAAAAAGAAAAGGGGAGATTATCAGAGGGGTGAAAGTGCCCACTGAGGGGAGAAACAACCCAGAACAGAACTGCCTCCCGTGCACCTTTCGAGGATGGAAGCTATCCCCATAGTCCTGCTCAGTTCTTCCACTTTAATGTTGTAGCTTACTCTTCATGGAGGGAGGAGGCATTGGCCTCAGTTCATTCTTCCCAAGCCTAGGAGCCAGCCACAGGGGCCCCACAAAAGGAGCAAAGCTACAGTGCCTCAACCCACAGCTGCAAATACCGTTTCCCTGGAAACTGGAAGAACCATTGGAAGTTAGCAATGAGTTCCCCCTGTTGAGCGTGGGTGCCACGATCCCGATCCCAAGCCTTACGTAGGCCTGTTCATGGAGTCATATGCCAAGCTTTCAGTGACAGGGTTGTATCCTCACTTTCTGGCGAGTCATCCTTCAGGAGGCCCAGGACCAGTGTGCTGCGGTTTCAAATTCTCCTCTCTCTACTGAAAACACAGCAAGGCCAGTTCATTCTTTCTTAAGCTATGCACCAAAGTTAAATCCAAGCAAACGTCCTGGGGTCTCAAGAAGGTCTCCATACTCACTCCCCTCAGCGGGTGACTTCTAAGAGGGGTGGGTAAAGGCACCTACACTCCCTCAGATACGTGGGTGCGGCCTCTCCAAGGCAGCACAGCGCTCTGTTGGCCTGGGCCCTGACCCTTAGGGGTAACAGGCAAGCGTTACACGATTTTGCTGCGGCTAGAACCTGCTGTACGAAGGTCGCGCAGGCGCGTTCTCAAGCAACCCCACACCCCGCTCCTCCGCATCCCTGAAGTGCAGCCACCGCAACCGGGAGTTACCAAGCTACCTGCGGACCAGAGTCACTCACGGGTGACTGCAGGCCAGGGCGGGGCTCCTGGCCAGAGAGGGTTCGGGTAGCCTTGGGCGACCACAGCACTCTCCATCCTCCTAAGGATGAGCAGACTAAATTCATTCACCTGCTTGTGAGGAAATTTCTGCCTTATCTGGAGAACGAACTCCACCCAAACCCGAACTCACCTGAGGTTCTCCCCAAGACTTCATTCCAAAGGCCCTGCGTGGCTGGTCCTCAGAGAGAAACCTCCAACCGGTTGTCCTGCACATCTGGCACATAACCTCCACGCACCATACAACACTCCTTGCACACCTCACCGCAACACATCGCCCACCCCTCACGGCGCATACACTACATACTACACACACACCACGCTGCCCCGCACCGCACACTCTGACACGGCACACAACATTGCACGCTGCAGGAACGTACATCTCGAAACACACAGCGCTCCCACACACAACACAGACGCGCACACCACCCTCCCCCGCACTACACTCACCCCACACCATACAGCCTATACACAGCCCTCTGAAATACCGACAACGCACACCCCCACATGCCGCCACTTCCCAAAGAAACAGACTTTACCTCCGACCCCCCAGCACCCTCTATTCCTACACGGTGTTCTCCCATTCCCCTTCTTCCTCGCCCAGGAGGCTCTCCCTCATACCCACCCCTCACGACAACCCCAGCTAACTTCTTCAGGCTTCCGGGTCCCCTGCAGGCAGGTGGGCGTGGAGACAGGCCGCCGGGTGGATAGGGAAACGCAGACGTAGGCCTTGCAGAGGTGGGAGGTCCTGAGGGTGGGGTCCAGGGGGTCCTGGGAGAGGGAGCCCGGGATGGGGTGGCGTTCCTAAGGTGGCAGGCGCTGGACAAGGCGTTGACAGGGGTAGTAGAGGAAGGCAGAGACTTGGAGAGGGGCCCTTCTCCTTGCAGAAGGCCCGAGGGGCGTCCTGGGGGTGGTGAGGCCCGGAGGGGGCCTCGGAGGGCGGCGCCAGGGCAAGGCGCGCGG